CACTCTATACTCTACCAAGGGCAATAAAGTAAGACAGATTCAAAAATAATAATAAAATAAATAAATAAATAAATAAAATAACAAATAACCATAATGCAGAAGGAGTGCTATTTTTATTTAGGTTTAGATCGTTTGTAGAAGTCAGTTGTGATATAAGTGTTTGAAATTAGAAGATTTGATTTCCATTTTTGCTCTGTTGTTGAGGTAGCTGTGTGGTCTTGGGAAAATCATAGTCATTCATTTTAAATGACTCAGGGAGAAACAAGGAGCTTTAGCGCATTTATGTCAATCATACTTGTTTTTCCTTTTAGGAATCTGACTTTCTTTGTCTTCTTGGAGAAAGCTACACATTTGAAGATAGTGAGTTAAACAGTGATAAAGGTGAAAATATATATGCATATGAAGAAGATAAAGACCAAATATTTAGTATATATGAAAACGATTTGGAGATAGAATCTGGATTTTATGCAACTTCTGAAAATAACTGGTTTGAAGACCAATTTCCAGCATCAGAGGCTCCTGAAGACATCAGAAGTACCAGTGAGCCACAAGACTGGGGAGAAGCAGAAGCTGAAAGTGTGGAACAGGATCACATAACAGAAGAGGATCATGTCTCACCATCCTCAGCTGTGCCTGAAGTAACAGGATGGTTTGGATCGGGAAGTGGACAAGCTGAAGAGAAGCCTTTTGAATCAGTTATTGAACCTGTACAAGAAGGCTCATTTCACAGCAGACAAATAGCAGTGGAAGGTGAGGATGACCAAGAGGAATTAAATAATGGTGAATACCAAACAGAGCAAAAGAAAGAACATCCATCAGAACTTGACTCTGTGCCAGATAAACAGTCTGAACTTGTATCTGAGTCAGAGCACTCTCTTAAACCTCAAGCCACTGGTTGGTTTGGTGGTGGATTTACAAGTTATTTAGGTTTTGGAGATGAGGATACAGAGCTTGAATTGTTGTCCAAAGAAAGCGATCCACCACTACAAGATGTTCCCAATTCCATATCATCTGAGGAAGAAGCCACAGTTCCATGTACAGAAATATTATCTGGAAAAGAAGATAAAATTACCAACGATAGCTCAGTTCTCAAGCCAAATTGGTTTGATTTTGGCTTTGGGCTCCTAGGCTTCGCATATGCCAATGAACATCAAATTATATCAGATGATGGAAAAAACGAAGATGGTGAAGAAGATAAACGTGAACATCCTCCAACAAGTGAATTTGACCCTCATAAGGAACAAGAAATACAAATGATAAAAACTATGGAAACTGAAGATCAAATAGATAACGAAAGAGTCTTAGAGAAAACAGATGATTCTCTAACCTTGCCATATTTGAAAAAGTTCTTGGGTAATTTTGACAACCCTTGGAGCTTCCAGAACATTCCAAAGGAAACAGAATTATCATTCCCCAAACAGACATTGGATCAAAATACTGTAGTTGAAAATGATGAACCAGAAGAGGTTTTGGCTGAAAATTATCCCATGGATAATGTGAAAGTTATATCGCTGGAAAGTCGATATAGTCAGTCAGGTTGGTATGAAAATATCTGTGACATAATTTAACTGATTTTTAATATAATTTATTTTTATAAGTTCAAATCAGATGACAAATTCTAATAATCTATGTTTTTCAAAATACTCAGTAATCAACAACAACCACCCTTTTATCCATTTCTGGTTTACTCTGAAACTTAGATCTTAGTATTATAAAATAAAATATCAAGAGAAAAAATATGATTGGAGATCTACTGATGTTCCTTTTTTTTTT